ATGAAGAATCTGCGAAAACATTTTTTGCCAATGTACCAATTGTGAATAATATTGTTAAAGGAAAAATTAGATTAGTATGTTGCTCGATTAAAGGAGCTATATCAGAGTAAATCAATTGTGTACCTGATTCATATGAAAGAAAAAGTGTGGTACGAAGAAAAAAGGACTGTTATGGGTAAAATAAACCATGATCCAGAGAACGTAATTGACCCAAAATCAGATTCGAAAATTAATTGTAGTATTCCCTATAAATCTAATATTAAAAATTTTTTCGATGAGTAAATTTAATTCTGAAAACTTTTACTTAGAGACCAGAAGATAGTTATCATAGAAAAGTTTCGTGATATTTACAATTTCTTATGCTTTTAATATTTATGTTGTCACACAAGATCCAGTATTTTTATTAAGGTCGGAAGTGATCATCAGTTCGACATAATAGTACCCCCGTAGCCCAGATTTCAGAGTGGGGAAGGAAAACAAGAAGGAAAAAGACAAGATATAAGTAATGTGACCAGATCTAAAGATGGTCAAATTGAACTGGAACTTATCCATAAAACTTAAATCTATTGCAAAAGAACAATTAGGTTATATAAATTGGTGGAAAATGAGAAGAAATTTAAAAGTAGATAAAGTGATTAGTCTTGTAAAATATAGTAACTTGAAAATATTAAAAGTTGCTATAATAAATGAACAGTGGTTATTCATTAATAAGCATTAATGCTTTAATACAAACCCTCAGTTAAAAAATAAAGAAAACCCAATATTCGCCCAAATTTTTCCACGTCTCTTAAGAGACTTTACAATTGAGAAATAATCAAGTGATTATGCGCAGTCGATTTTTATTTATACAATAAGCACGTCTGACAAGTAATGTCGATCATTGTTGTCTGCAGCCAATAAAATCACAAGATCAAGTGTAACTTAAAAAAAACGTAAATAACTTTGGATTTTACTATGACTACAACTTATTCAGTAGATAATTCATACAATCGCACACATGAATCTGCAAGGTTATGTCAATCATTGCATGAGTCAAGTTTGTATTAATTGATTTTATTGAAACACGATTTTTATATTGTTTAGAATAAAGCCTTAATCCATGACCTGTTTGCAATTGTGTAATTTATGACTTTCTATAAAAACCTCTGTAGCTCACCCACAAGATTTTTCAGGCACGTGATTCTAGCCAATTAGATTGAAGGATCAGAAATCACGTCTTTTTAAAAAATCGCCATTAACTCGAAATTTTACCTATGAACTGCCTTCTGCGTTCTAATAAAAAAAATTTCTCGTGAAATTTTAGCATAAGCTATGTACTTTCTCATTCCTTACCCTAACCTTAAGATGATGCTTCTTACTTTAAAATCTTTTGCTTAATTCGATTGTTTTGATTTTACGTTACACCTGATCCTTCGATATAATTGGCTAAAAATTACGTACCGGAAAAAATCTTGTGGGTGAGCTATTATTAATTCTGCAAAATTTGCAAACGCACGGCGACAAGGGTACTAAAAAGCTGGGAATTTAAAGTGAATACTGTAGGGGATGTCTAGAGATATGTACACTCTCCTGACAATGATCACTGGAATTTTGATTTTCACGATGGTTTAACCTAATTGGATGATAATTGTAATTACATATAAAACATAATTTTTTTTATATACAAAGCAGTCTTTGCATAGTAGGCAAAGTTGTTTAACATAACAATTAGTATATAATTTGAGAATTTTAGAAAATTTGATAAATTTTTTGGGGTTATTTTTAGCACTTTAGGTCTTAGTAAATGAAAAATAAAAAAAAATAAAAAAAACTTGTTTATGGCAACACATTTCTGAACTGTATTATAAACATTCATTGAAATTTATTGAGATTATTCTTTAAGTCCTAGAGCATGTAGGATTAAATTTTTATAGAAAAATTATTAAAGATTCTCAAGTACCATTATATTTAATTCAAAATTTTAATTTTTAAAAAAGTCTTATTTTTGATATTTTAAAATTTTACATAATAAAAGATTGTAAAATTTATATTAAAACAACTTAATAAAAAAATATATATATTGTTTTATATACTATGATACATTTATTTTATTTTCAGAATCATGTTTTTATAAATTTTATAATATTTTATTATATATATTTTTAAAATACCAAAAATAAGATTTTTTATAAAATTAAAATTTTGAATTAAATAGAATGGTTTTCAAGAACCTTTAATAATTTTTCTATTAAAATTTAGTTCTACATGCTTTAAGACTCAGAGAATAACCTCAACAAATTTTAATAAATGTTTATTATACAGTTTAGAAATGCAAAGTTTTTTTTATTTTTTTTATTTTTTATTTATTAACTAATCATTATGTTAAACAACTTTGTCTACTATGTAAGAACTGATTTGTATATAAAAAAATTATATTTTATATGTGATTATGATCATCATCCAATTAGATTAGACTATTGTGAAAATCAAAATTCTAATAATTACTGTCAGGGGAACGTATATTTATAACTTACTAGATTTTTTAATATAATATTAGCAAATTATATAATAAATAGCAAAAAGAATAATAGAGATTAAAAGATGAGTAATAAAGTGAAGATAAATTTAATCTATTATTGTAAAAAAAAAAGATACATTTTACTAAATTAATAGTCTAAGAAACATAGTTCTTTAGAACTCATCTTAGCTAATATGTTATGCATAATAATATGTTATTTACATAATAGCTAAATACAGTACTAGAATGATAAATCAACTAAGCAAACCAAACCTAGTAATTTTAGTGTGATCAGATTTTAATTATTGAAATTAAAGTAATTGATTAATATTATATTAATATATATTTAATTAATAAATCACTTAATTTCTAAAAAATATATCTTAATATTGCATATCTTTAATTTCTTTTAATTAAAAATTCTTTACAGAAGTTATTTCTAAAAAGTTATGCTTAATTTGCAAAAATTTTATTAAAGATTTGATTTGTATATTTAAATTCTAATTTTTAATTAATGAAATTTAATTTATTTATAAGAATGTTTAAACTTATATGTTAATAAAAAATCCAAAAACAACTTTATTTTTTAATATTAAATAAATTATTTAAAAAATTTTAAAATAATTCTTTGGAATATTAGTAAGTTGTGTCTATTTAAAATAATTAATTTTAAAAAATATATATATAGAATACAATTAATCTTAATAAATATTAAATTAATTTTTACTTATATAATATAAAAATTTATAATATATCAAATTTTATAGTTTGCTTATATAGTTTTAATATTTACTATCTTAGTATAATATATACTGTACATATAGTTCTTTTTAGACATTTAATTAATAATACTGTATATAATATATCAGTTATATATTTTTGTTATTTTAGTGTTAGAGTTCAGAATATAGATAAAAAATTTGGTATGCTTATTTATGATCATATGACCAAAATTCATTATTATCCAATCACAGTATAGTATATATTAATTTTAATTATATCAGCAAAATTTTTAAGCAAATATATATCAATATATAGCATTTAATCAATATATATCAATTGAAAATAATTAATATATATTGATTAATTGTTATATATTAATTAAAAATAATTGATATATATTGATTAATTACTATATATCAATATATATTACTAGTGATATATAATAATTATTGATATATATTAAGTATAAATAATTATAATAACTATTGATTAGTAATAATTTATATAAATTTTATTAAAAGCAACTCTTTTCATAGATCACTTATACCAAAACTACAAAAAAACATTTGATTATTTCTCACAATTTTATTAAGTAAACCTTACTTGACCTCTTAAGTAAAGTTGTTCAGCACA